TTCATTCTGCTCCCCTCACCCTAAAAACACTAGGCTGTGAATCCTGTGCTATCAGATGCTGTCACTCACCTTTTCTCCTTGCTGCAGGCATCTGCAGACCCCTGATTCATCCACTCCCCTTCATTTCTTGAAGACTTTAACATTCTGTCACTCATCTCTGCCACATACCTGCAACTTTGTTATTTCCAATAATTTTATCTCCAGAATCTGAAGTATCTTGCTCTTCAAACCACCTTTGATCTTTGCATTAGAGTCCTAATGCAAACAATCCTTCAGCCCCACTGGAACCAACAATCCATTTTTCTGACCTCCTATGCACTTTTCAACATTCCCCTATTGGCTCTTCTGTGCTCTGTTTCATGCTTAAAGCAAGATCAACTATTAAAATCCTCCTTTGCATATACCACAAATTCTTGCTTTGCCACTATTAGCCAAGCTAAACTACAACCCTGGTTAAACTGCATTTTCCAATTATTTCATGCTCACACAGCTGACATAGCTAGAAAAATGTCATGCTAACAATACATTCATTTCAGATACATGAACATCAACTTCCAGTGGGCACGGGCAGGCCTGGTGGATAAACCTAGCCCCTTTCTTGGACTATGATTACCTCCCCTGCTGCCTTCTTCTCCATTCTGACTCTCAGCAATGACTGTTCCCTATTTCAGTGAGGAATAAAAGCAACCAGAAGAGAACTGCCACCAGTGCCCACTTTACATCAACTCTCATCTGCTTGCATCTGTATCTAAATGCTTTACCTTTTTGCCTGTCTCTGCTACTGCCTAAGACCAATGTCACCATATAGCCTCTGGATATCAATCCCCACATAGTGACTGAGAATAGCTTCACAAGTGTCCTCTTTCTTCCAGCATCAATTTCTTTGTGTGTGTGTGTGTGTGTGTGTGGTACTGGGGTTTGAACTCAGGGTCTACACCTTGAGCCACTCCACCAGCCCTTTTTTGTGATGGGTTCTTTCAAGATAGGGTCTTGTGGACTATGTGCCCAGGCTGGCTTTGAACCATGATCCTCTTGATCTCTGCCCCCTGAGTAGCTAGGATTACAGATGTGAGCCACCAGTGCCCAGCTTCCAGCATCAATTTCTACCCCCTTTATTTGGCATTCTCAGCCACAGTATCTTTCCAGTATGCTATTATGTTCATTTGAAAAAACATTCTTTTGACTCCAATTCCTCTTCTAGCATGTCTTCCTTTTTTGTTCCCTTAAAACAAACCATCCTTGAAAGTTTACAATCACTGTTTGTATTCTCCCTCACTTCCCTTGTTCCACTTCAATCATTCAGTCCCACTGCTCCACTGAAAGTGCTCTTCCACAGTGCTAAAGCCATGATCAAGTCTCAGTACTTACTTCATTCTCAGTCCTGTCAGAGAGCATCAGACAGACTTAATCATTCATTTGGAGCAATTTTAATTTTTTTGGCAATACTGAGGATTGAATTCCGGGCCTTATCACTTGAGCCATGTCCTAGGCCCTTTGTGTTTTTAGTTTGCTTTTCAAATAGGGTCTCTTGCTTATGCCTAGGTTAGCCTTGGACCTTTTCTGTCTTCCAAGTAGCTGGGATTATAGGTATGCACCACCACACCTGGTCCTGGTAATTCACTTTTGTCTCAACTTTCAGCACAGCACACTCTCCTCAGTATTATTCTGTTCCTCTGTTTCCTTTATTTTTACTTCTTTTTTTTATTGCAGTACTGAGGTTTGAACTTAGGGCCTCATGTTTGAGAGACAGGTACTCTACCATTTGAGCCACTCTGATAGCCCTGTTTCCTTTATATCTCACCTGATTCTGAGCATCAAAATGTTTATATCAGGCCTTGGATCTCTTCTCTGTCTATTACCACACCCACAGTAACCTCATTCAGTCTCATGGCTTTATATCACCTATATGCCAATGACTTCCAACATTTGGTATCTTACAGCTTAGACCATTCTTCCCAAACTTAACAAACCTGCTTTTCTTAGTCTCAGCAAATGGCAACTCCATTCCTTCAGAAACTCCCACCCTGTCCCTCTACCTTCAGGATACAACCAGAATCTGACTGCTCCTTGTCACATCCATTGCTTTTGTTTGGTTCTTCATCATCTCTTGCCTAAATTCTTGTAATAGCCTCCAACTGGTGTCCTTGTCTGTACCCTTTTGCCCCCTACAGTCTATTCCTAGCACAACAGCTGAATGATTCTGTGAAAACTGGCAGTCTGTCTTTCTACTTTAAACCTTCCTGTGTGACTTCCCGTCACTCTTAACAGTAGTAAGTTAAAATCTACACAAGGACCCCTCATATGATCTGGTTCCATTACCTCTCTCCCGGCTGTTGGTTACCACTTCCTGCCCCGTTGATGCTGAAGTGCACCAGGCACAAACAATCCTGTTGCACCACAGTCTTTGGAAGTGCCGGGGATGTCCCTCCTTAGATGCCACATGCTCTACTCCCCCAAGTCCCATGCAAATGTCAATTTAGACAGTCTTTCCTTATCTCTGTCTAAAATTACATATCTATCTCTTCCCCCTTATACTACTCCTTCTTCCTTACTTAATTTTTTTCCTTTGGCATTAAGAAAACTATATACTATTTATTTGTTTGTGATCTCCCTCCTCCCATCATAATGTGAGCTCTTTCAAGGTCAGGGATTCTCACCTGTTTTGTTCATTGCTATACACCAGCACTTAGAACAGTACCTGGCACATACAGTCACTCAATAACTATTGATTGTATATATGAAGAAAAGTTACCCACCTCTTATACAACAATAAAATGTGTGGAGAGTCACAGATGAGACGGTATGGCAACAATGTAACATATTATCATAACAGTCAACAGAAAAACCCCAAAAGCAGTCAAACACAACTAAACAAAACACATTTAAAAAAAAAAAAAAAAAGAAAAAAAAGCCAGGCAAAAGACAAAGAGAACAACACATAGAACTCAGAGAAGAAAATTCCTAAATTCCTCACAACTGATTCATGCTATGGAACCCAGGAAGAGCAAATAGTCACTTTTTTTAAAAAGCTTGAATATGAGATGATAAAAGATCTGTAGGACTACAGAAATAAATAATGACATTAATGTATCATCATGACAAAGCAGATATTTTCATTAGAAATAACAAGAAGTAAGTAATATTGAGTGTATTGCAGGTAATAAAATTAAGGACATAAAGTCTGAGTATATCACAATAAATAAAGATGGAAAAGACAGTGTTGCAAGGTGAGGCTTGAGTGGTAGAATGCCTGCCTTACAAGAACAAAGCCATGAGTTCAAACCCTACTACTGCCAGAAAAAAGAAAAAAGAACGATGGAAAAGACAAAGAAACAGAATAATCAAAGAGATGAACATAAGGCTAACTGGTATTCCATAAAGTAGGGATCATAATAAATGGAACTACAGATACATTCTAAGATATTACAAAATTCATCTAAAATATAGAAAGCATTGAATATGCAGAATAAAAAAACATCTATGCTCCAGGAGAGCTGTGTACAGAAAGCTTCTACTAATACATAAATTTTGGACTTCCAACCATAAATCTTCTTTAGTTATTCTGACATAGAAAATCACCTGAATGGGAAAATATCAGGCTAGACCCAGACTGTTACATGCCAAAAGAGCAATTTCTACAAAATTCTGAGGGAATGGAAATATGCATGGCCCCATAATATTAGAAAAGGAATCCTCAACCTATCTGTAATTCTTAAGATCCAAATTCTGGAATATTTGCATATGTATAATGAGGTATTTGGGGAGATGGGATCCAAGTCTAAATAGAAAGTTCATTTATGTTTTATATACACCTTTATACACAGTCTATAGGTATTTTTTGAGGGGGATTTGAATTCAAGGGTTCATGCTTACTAGGCAGGTGCTCACTGCTTCAGTCACTCTATCAGTGCTATATACTCAAAGAGCTTCAGATTTTGGAACATTTTGTATTTCACATATTTGGATTAGGGATTCTCAATCTGTATCCAGCCCAGACATAGTCTCAGAATTAAGACAGCAGGTACACATTTCAAACATGTGAGGACCTCATGGATATTATACATTTTATGCCTTCTCAAAAAAAAAAAAAAAGGAGTGACAATAAACTTTAGCCAAAGGACTAAGGAAGAAAGAAACGACAACATGGAATTTGGTAAACGAGGAATCCACCAAATATTTAAGATCCTACCCTATACCATGCATTGTTTTAAGAGCTGGGAATATAGCAGTAACAAAGTTCTGCCCTTATAGAGGTTATATTTTGGAAGAGGGAGAGAGAGCAAATATACATTGTTAGGTGTTGAAAAGTGTTATGGAAAAAAATGAAGGAGGATCAATGACTGAAAGAGTGTTGGGTTGGGGAATAGAGGGAGCACTGCTCTTTTAGGAAACATGGTTAGGGAAGAGCCTCTTACAGGCTGCATTAGAACACAGAGCCAGTCACATGCCTGCCTGTGGGAAGGAGCAGTGAACGCACAGGCTCTGAGATGTAACAGCAAGGACTGGGTCACAATGGGAGAGAGAGCTAGGAGCTGAGGCTGATATGCCTGGGACAAAATAAACAATCAAGAAATGAAAGGCATTTTAGCTGGGCCTTGACACTTGTATATTACTTAAGTAGAAAATAATGGTCTTATAGATAAAGTATAAGAAAGAGGAATGTGCCATGTCACACTGAAAAATCAGAGAGATGTATTTGCCTTACATGTTGGGGAGTAGTAAAAGTGAAGATGCTGAAGGTCTGAGTGCTGTGCTCAGCAAATTATAATTATTTGATAGTAATTACCACTACACTGCAACATTTTAAAAAATTAAGTAGCACAGAATGGAATGTAAATTGTTACCTTGAAATAATGTGGAATTGCTTTTTTATTAAGAATAAAGGTTAAAAAAGGCTTCCTTTCACATGACTAGTTGGCATAACTAATCATTAGGAAGCTTAAAAGCATATTTTTCAAAAGAAGCGACAAATAGCCACAATTACATAGACTGTATATTACCTGTGTTTTTCACAACAGAAACTACAAATCCTATTAGGTCCACTTCAGAACAAGGTGGCTGAAAGTCTGGGTCTAAGAGTCTGCTGAAATGAAGGGGCTCCCTTGGCTGGTAACTCTGGAATAAGATTTCATCCAATGCCTATAGAAAACAAAATAAACACTATACGGAGATTTTATAAAGTAATATGCATTTATCAAAGTTGAAAAATTATAATGAAAGGTTTATACCGGTAGTTGTTGATACTGAGTTCTTTTGGTTGCTGCTAACTGTATGTTAACTCTTTCAGATTTACTTTTAGATTTTGATGTTGCAAGATGATAGATTCTATATCTCTTTCCTTCTGTTAATAGGGAACATAAATCTGATGATGGACGCCAAATACTCAATATAACTGTTTAGAGAAAGATGAAGACAACAAAATAGGAAGAACTGATAATCATTAAAATTCTTGTTTAAAAATAACTCAGCTAACAATAAAGATCTACTTTGTGCTGGTAACCATTTTGCTCCTTTGATATAGACTAATTTTATAATTTATCTGGCATTTGTAATCATACTATTAATAACATTTTTTTCACTTAAGAAAACTGATAACATCAAAAAAATTTGCATACTAACCCGAATCTTTTTCTTTTTTCCCGTAGCTTACAATGCGCAACTTCCACACAGTTGTAACTTCCCTTGATAAACCTTGTTCCCCTTGTTCAGCAGATTCCATAGCCTTCTGGAATTCCAACTGGATCTGTGCTTGTTTCTTATCATTCAACATTTGTCTGTGCTTATTCAAGGCTCTTAACTGCTCTTCACTGAAACAAGCCTGTGACCATTTAGAATATTGAAATAAGGAGAAAGTCCCACTTACTTTATCTGGATTGCTTTAAACAGACACAACATATTTGAGTTCATTTTAAGTGTATGGATTAATATATTCATTTTATCACATATTTTAGGGCCTTCAAACTGTTTAGTAACCCCAGGGAAAAACAAACCTCTAATTGTAAATGTACCCTAATCATAATCACCACCATCTACATTATAAATGGCCAACATGGACCCTGTATTTGAGAAGTGGACCTACGTGTGTTAATGTACTAGTTCATTTAATCCTCACAATGGTCCCCTGACTTGATTACTATTATTAATTCCGTATTACAGTTGATGAAACCGAGGCACAGAAGAATAAATAACTTGCACAGGCCATACATTCTTTAACCTCTGTAGTATAATTTAATTAATGCGTTGAAACAGTAGATATAATTTAAAATAGACTTGCTACAAGGACTTTTATCTTTGTCTTGACACTTTGCTCCCACTCATTTCAGCAAATTCCTGTCTGTATCTCTTTGGAATCTTATTCAGTATAACAAAAATAGATGAATAATAAAATAGGAAGTGGAATCTACACATGTAACATACTAGACTGCTGCTGTCTTGCACATCTTAATATCCTAATAATTCTGGGAAGACCGACTACAAAATTTTTTGAACCTCATAAAAGTCTTTAAAAATATGTAGGTAGTGTTTAATTTACATATGAATTTTTAAAATACCCTGGAATTTTAGAGGGCCTACAACATTCAACATTGTTAGTGCAAATAAAATCTTTTAACAAGGCTATTTCAGAAATTGCTGGCTATTTTCTTCTGTAAGAATTACACTGATAATTTAATCTAACTCAAATCTCAGATAATGATATGCACTTAGAGCCTGCAAGATAACCTACTTTTAAGTTTTTGCTTGCTGGAAGGTGGGAACGAGGCTCTAAGAGATACATTACTTGTCTAGCTACACAGTGGCTGACCTTAGAACTCTAGTTCTCATTCTGTCCCCTTATGTCCTTCTTATAGTATCAGTAAATTCTGGAAAGAGGCCAGATTGAAATTAAAATTATCTTCATGATGATTCATACAATGCACAGGCTTCAACAAATAAAGCTTAAATTTCAAGACTGGAAGCAAGAACACTCACAGGCTCTACAATTGTACTCCCTTCTCACAGGGAGAACCTAAGTTGTAACATTGGAGAGCATGAGGGAATCCTATTCAGAACAGCACTGATCACATTACTGATGGACTATTGTTTATTGTGTGGTACTGCTATTTAAGAAAGTCAAACTATGTGCAAGATTTGTTAAGTCATCAAGTAAATGAAATTAATAAACAACTAGCAGTTTCCCTTTCCTCACTACCTAGCAAAACCTAGAATTTGCATTATTTTACTTTTTCCTTCCTTTCCCTCCCTGAGTAATTTTAGACATCCAAGTGTCTACATTTAATTTAGGAGGTAGCTTAATGTATGAAATGTTCTAAAAATAGTAATTATTTATTTATTATCCATATATATTTATATGGAACTTTTAGATACACTAATTTGATCCTAAAACAACTTATTTTTTGCTCATTTTATAGATATGTTATTCCCAATTTGCTTAACTAATAAATGGTAAAGTTATGATTCTAAAAACCTGTTATTTCCAACAGTCTAGAACTTGTGAAAGATTCTACCCCAGTATCTTTAAGGTAGTATTCATGAAAATCCCTAAGCAGAAATTGAGAAAAAGCCAATAAACATAGAAACGAAGACATTGCTTTGAAGGTACTTGTTTAAAAAAAAAAAAAAAGTGGGTTTTTGTTTGTTTTTTATTTAGACAGGGTCTTGCTACACAGACCAGGTTAGCCTAAACTCAAGATCTTCCTGCCCTAGCTTTTGGTGTGCTGGAATTACAGGCATGCACCACCATGCCCAGCTAAAAAACAAGTTTTGTCTGCATTTTAAATCACATTTATTCAACATATGAAATTCATGAACCTTCCCACCCTTTACTTGATATAGAATCAAAAGCATACCATGCTTGCTTGGAATATCACAGAGGACACCAGAAATGTACTCATCCTCTTTGAAAGATGCAGTATTTCAACATACTGCTTCCTGGAGCAGCCAGAGTCAATACAGCCCCACTGTACAGACTGAGGACCAAGGCTCGTCATCTCCCTTCTACTCTCACCTCAAGGTAATCTGGGTCTGATGCATTCTTCACTGCTTCATAAAGTTCTGCACCATCCTGCAGAGCACGGACTTGCTGCCTTGTTAGTGCACGTGATGGCATATATGGATTTGTTTTTTCTAGGAAAATGAAAAGCATCATTAATTAGCTAAACCTGAAACTTAACAATGAAAACTAGAGAACCAAGCAAAAGATGCCCAAAGAAAGGAGATAAAAAATAAACAACCAGTGGGAGCAAAACCAATGCCTAGCTCAGAGCAGCTGCTGCTGAGGTCTCTGGCCAGTTGTTGCTTCCACCCATCCATAAATGTAGGGAATATCTTTGTGAACCTCTTCAAGGACTTTTTTGGCAAAAAAGAAATGCACATCCTCATGGTGGGCATCCAGTCACAGGGAAGACATTTCTGCACAAACCGAAGCTGAGTGAAATTATAACCATCATTCCCACCGTAGGTTTCAATGTGGAAAAAGCTTTGTACAAGACCCTCAGCTTCGCCAATATGAGACGTGAGTGGCCAGGTCTGGCTGCTGTGGCAGCACTACTTCCAGAACACCCAAGGCTTGGTCTCTGTGGTAGGTAGCCATGATAGAGAGCGTGCAGACAAGGCCCTTGAGGAGCTCATGCGGATGCTGGCTGAGGACAAGCTCCAGGATGCTATTCTCCTGGTGTTTGCCAACACGCAGGTCCTCCCTGATGCCATGAACACTGCTGAAAACACAAGCTGGGGCTGCACTCTCTATGCCACAGGAACTGGTACATTCAGGTCACCCGTGCCACCAGTGGGGATGGGTTCTATGAAGGACTGGATTGGCTGCCCAGTCAGTTCCAGAACTAGAGCTTCTGCTCCCCCTCACTTCCTCCTCTCTGCCCTCTGCTTTCTTCTCTTGTGCAAATGTGTGACTCTGTGGTCCTGAGTTCCAGAAGCTGACTGCATGGATTGGCCACAATGTGCATTGCAGTGTGCTGTACATGTGAAGATACAGCCTGCTTTTTATTTATTGAAAATAATTGATTAAATAAATAGAAAAGGCAGTTTCTGGTACTCCTATGCAATATTAACCAGCTTTTTTTCTTTTTTAATAAAAAAAGAAGAGACATGGGCATGTGGGCACCGGGTCTCTGGAGCCACTAGCTACAGATCAGTGTCAGGATCTATTTGGTGGCTGTTTTTTAACCCAAACTCAGTGTACTTTAAAAAATAGATAAAAATACAAGACAAGCAGAACACTTGAACAAACAGAAGGGAGACTAGGTCTAGTGTAAGCTTTGCAGTAACTGCCTGGGTATCAGATCAGCTATTCCCTTATGGGAATGCGAGAGACTGTGATGAACAAACCACCACCCACTGCATGGTCACAGTAGTGTCCCTGTGACTCTCCTATCTTTGGATCACCTGCATTCCATAGTGTTGTGTTTGTACTCATGTTCACATAGTCACCTAGGGTGGGTAGGGTCATAATCTCATCCTTAGTGGGCATGTGGCCAACCAGCATTCCATATTCCCAGCTCACTCTTGCACTTGTTGCAGATGCTGGGAGCGGCCTGGGTCTCACCAACAGAAGTGCTAAGATGGAAGGGTCAGTCTACTACAGACTTATAGCCCCAGAGCACCCCCATCTCCATGTGTGAAGTAGCTTCCTCCTTCAGCCTGCAAGGGTTCAATATGCAGACTTGAAAAAGATGACCTCCATTTTTTTTCTTTTGTATTTTGATAAACACTGAAGAAGCTGGAGCTGTTAAAATTTATCTTGGTGAAGCCAGTCATCAGTGGCTCATGCTTATAATCCTAGCTACTTGGGAGGCTGAGATCAGGAGGATCATTTTTGAGGCTAACCTAGGCAAATAGTTTGCAAGACCCCATTCCAAAACAACCACAGCAAAACAGACTGGAGGTGTGGCTCAAGGGGTAGAATGCCTGCTTTGCAAGTGGGCAGTCCTGAATTCAAACCCCAGTCCCACCAAAAAAAAAAAAAAAGATTATCTTGGGGAAACCTCAGAACTGGTTTATTTGGTACCATGGAAACTTTTACTGCTTTCAATACACGATTAGCAATCAACTGTTTTGTATACTTTATTTTCAGTTTTCATTTCAACAAGCAATGTAATTATCACTATTATAATAAAGTCTCAACTATTAAAAAAATACCAACCATTTATCTACAAAAGTTTCCTTGGAAAACTGAAACTGGTGTACTTATGATTTAAAAAAAGTCATATAGAGAGCTTACTTAATTAATTTGTAATTAAATAAGTGGTTTCTCATATTTATTCACTTATTTATGAAATAATGTGTATTGGTGATAATTTTAACAAAAAATAACAGAAGTCCAATTTTTCTATAGATTCTCATAGACTTTGAAATTATGGAAAATCATAAGGAAATGCAGAAAATATCTTCAGGGGGCTGGGGCATGGCTCAAGTAGTAGAGTGCTTGCCTAGCAAGCACAAGGTCCTGAGTTCAAGAACACCAGTACTGTCAAAAAAATAAAAATAGTATGATTTTTAGTATTAAAATTGATGGAGTGGCTCAAGTGGTACAGCCTTGCCTAGCAAGCTTGAGACCCTGAGTGCAATAGATGACAAAATTCCAGGTATAATAACATGAAAACTAACTCCAATGGCAAAAAAATGCAAAGTTATATAGTGTAGATAAGAACACTGAGGAACAAGAGAGAAAGATGGCTTATGGAAAAATAATCTGATAGTTTCCTCCTGGGTGTTCTTTTTGTAATACCAAAAAAGGATTCTGTAGATACTTTAGTCCTGAAGCTTTAGAGAAAGTTTACTTAAGGATCATGAAAAATGCTAAAGGCATGTCATCTTTTACCGTCTAAGACAATTACTAGTACCTAAAAGTTAAGAGTTTAATGGTGGGACAGGGGAGACATGGACAGACTGGGTGGGGTTTGAACTCAGGGTTTTACACTTGAAAAGCAGGGCTCTACTGCTTGAGCCACACCTTGAGTCCATTTTGCTATGTTATTTTGAAAATGGAATCTCATGAAATATTTGCCTGGGCTGGCCTCAAACTGTGATCCCCTCAATCTCAGTCTCTTAAGTAGCTAGGATTATAGGCATGAGCAACTGACAACCAACTAAAACTCTGTGTTTCAAAAGAAGCAGTGATAGAAAAATTCAGTGTCAGTTCAATGTTTTTCTGTATTATGTATAATATTTTTTAAAAATAAAAAAATTCAGATGCAGAATTTAAAAAAGAATCTGTTACTCAAAGGTAATTCACTCAATCATAAACATTAAATTAGAAGTCTTTAAAACTTTCTTATATGAAAAGTAATAAATTGTAATGTAAGACTCACTTTACCTTCATGCTCTTCAAATGCTGCTTGAATTTTAGTGAATAAGGCTTCCAGTTTGTTTTGTTGTGCCTCTGCAAACTTTGTTGCTTCCTTTTCTTCTTCTCTTTCATTTCGAAATATGTATAATCCGGATGGTGTCTTCTCTATCCACTGCATAACGTGTTGTATTAAAAAAAAGCCAAAAACATAGTAGAGAAAGAAGTGTCAAATTAATTGTCTCAAAAGAAAAAAACAAACAAACATATAATTAGTTTCAAAAATGTATCATACCTGTATTGGGTACACTCTTTGAACAATGATGTCACTACAACCAATGTTTCCTCCGTCACTGAACAGTGATGACAAGGGCAATGGGAAAGGTCTAGGATCAGGAAAGAATCCGAGTTTGGTGTACCAGCAGGCAGGCCGAGTACTATTAGCTGAGATCTGTACAAATTAGTGAATAGATTGATTTAAAAATTAAACATACATATGAATAAATGTATAAACAATTAAAAAATAAAACATTCTAAAAAAATTAAACATATATTCAATCCTATCACAAATTTCCTAAGAGTTTTCATTCTTTTAGGGCTGCTTTAAAAATAATTCACTTTTAAATGTCTCATGAAGATTAGTAAAAAAGTGAGTAAGTAGAAAATTGTACAAAAGAGAAAATATTTTGAAACCAGTACTTCTCAAAAGTATTTCTGCTGGGCTGGTGGAGTGACTTAAGTGGTAGAGCAACTGTCTAGCAAGTGTGAGGTCAAGTTCAAATCCCAGTACCAAGCCACCCTCCCAAATTTTCTACTTGTATAAAGTATTAATGTTATTTAAATATTTCTGTTAGAAAATAGATAAAGGAATTTCAATTTAAGACACAGTTTACTTAGATTTCCTCAAAAAACTTACAAGTACAAATAAAACTAGAAAGAATAGCAGATGAGATAACATCAAAATTTTTGAGGTTAAATATTTGTTAGACAAGAAATGACAAAGGAGCCTGAGAACGATTATGACTGAAAAAACAGCTAACACGGAGCTATGCTCCTCAGCCTAGTGTTAGCGCACTGTGTTCAATCCCTAGCAACAACACATACACACACACAAACAATCGTTAAACACTCATAAAGCACTTACTACGTATGGTACCTGGCATGGTGTTAACGCTTTATATTCTTTAACATTTAATCTTCACAACAGTCCTGAGTTATTCCCATTTCAGAGACAATAAAACTGAAATATAAGGGAAATCACATAAGCTGATCAAGATCACTCAGCCAACAAATTCGTGGCAAGAAGGCAATATGACACAAAACAGTTCAAGAAAACACACAAAAACTGGAGGCAAAAAGGTTTGAAGGCAGGAGCATAGGTGGGGTAGAAAATAGGAGGAGTGGTTGAAGTTTTGTACAAAGAGAATTAAGACCTTAGATTTCCTCTCCTACCCGGAGCAACAGTGGCTGTTCCTCTGCCCCATTACAAAAGAACTGAGGAGACTTCATTTTGGAGAGGCTGAACCATATATATCCTGGACTGTGGGGGCAGTGAGAGAGGGAGAGGGATGTTTTGTCAAACTGAAAACAAAACTGAAATGAAAAGCTTTATGTTGATGAGTCTCCCAGTTAGTATCTTTACTTAGGTCTCAGAGTAGTCACTGGTATTTGAGGATCTGTCTCCTAATTAAAAACCCAAATCCCCTCTATTTACTGACAAGTCCCACTTTACACAGAGTTCCCAGTCAGCTCACTGGAGCCCCTGGAAGATGAAAGGTCAGCCAGTGATCTTCAGTTGAAGAAAGTGTCCAACCTGAGGGACCCAAACAAACAGAAAAAGAGGTTCTCATAGGGAAAAAAAATGTAGGGAGGAGAAAAAACTAAAACGAAATACAACATTAGTTAAACAGCTTCAAATAAAAGAACCAAATATAAAACAAGGAAAAACATTTAGAGAAAAATGATGCTGGTAGACACAAATTCACTTTAAGGATGAGAAGAAAAATTAAGAATTATTCTAGAAAGGGGAGAATACAAAATAGAAAAAACTAGAAAATTAGAGGAGCAATCTAGGAGGTTTAATGTTCAAACATCAGGAGATTCAGAAAAAAAAAAAAAAAAAAAAGAGGGACTCATTAAGGAACCACTTCAAGAAAATTTTCCAGAACTCAATGAAAGCCACTGTTTTAGACTGAGCGCCACTACTAAGTACCCATGACAATGACAAAAAAAACAAAAACAAAAACCCCAAACCAATATATATATGTATGAATGTATTAGTGTGAAATTTCAGGATAGTGTAGAAAAAAATCCTACAGACCATATAATGAAGGCCTGAGAACATACATAGCAATGAACTTGGCTATGAGCTATATTAGTAGCAAGAAGCTAATACAGGAAGTGTCTTCAAAATTCTGAAGGAATTATTTCTACCTAGAACTCTATATTCAGCTAACCTTACAAGATCTCAAAAAGCTGCATATTCCCTTTCTCAAAAAGCCTCTGAGCCTTGTGTGCCTTTAGAACAAGGGAATAAGTCTAGGAAGATGACATAGAATCTGAGAAACAAGGCTTCTAACACACACACACACACACACACACACACACACACACAGAAGGTGAAAAGAACTTCCAGAATGATAGCTGTGTAACACATAGCAGAAGAATGAAATGCAGGGGTTCTCTAAGAAAAAGAAACAAAGCTGAGGGATGTCTCTAATACTTTGGGGAGATCCTGTGTAGGATTGAGTCAGGATACAGAAAACTGGACTGGGGTTGTGCCTCAGTGGTAAGGTGCTTGCCCTGGGTTCCATCCTTGGCACCACCAAAGAAATATAAAACCAAATAGCTCCAGGGAAAGTAGTAAATTACAAATAAAGGAAATGTGATAACATATTATGTACAAAAAATATTTTTTCATAATCATGAAAACTGCAGACTTCACTAGAAATTGTATTAGCATAGGGAAAGTGGGGGACGAGAACTACAAGGCAGTGTTGGTAAAGAGATAAATCTTCATCTCCTATGGCAGGAAGTAACAGCATTTAAACTGAAGAAGGAAAGAAAAAAAAAAAAGGGCACATTAGCAAACAAACAAACAAACAAAAAAAATGGCCAGTAAGACTGGAAATGGTTCCTTCTAGAGCATGAACAGGTACCAGGGATTTTTTTTTTTTTTTTTGGGTCATAAGCCTTCTATTCCTTGAGTTTCCAAATTATGCACATGTAGTGGTTTGATAAAAACATAACAAACAAGAAAATGTAATTTTTTTTTTCAACACAAGTCAAAAGCCTGTTTCAATAAATGCTTTCAGTAAAAAGTGACCTGAGATCTCAGTGGTAGAGCACTTACCTAGTATTCATAGGCTTGGATTCGACCTCCAGCAAAGAAAAAAAAAAAAAAAAAAAAAGCTACAGCATGGAGCTAATGCCAAATAAAATCTTTTTACCTCGAACATAATTTTTTTTGGCAGCACTGCTTGCTAAGCAGGCTCTCTACTACTCGAGCCACTTCACCAGCCCTAAACATACTTAATTTACAAAATGCTCTCCTCAGAAGTATCCAGAGTACAACAGAAGCAAATTCTGTACATTACCTCATAAGTGAATTGAATGTGCAATATTATCAGTAACAGCAATATTGTAGACCAATTAAAATGACAACTATATGACCCTGCCATATAGTTTCAAATCTATACAAGGATGGAAGTGTACTTTATTACTACATATGTGAGAAGCATTGACGTCTAATTCTCTAATCTCATTGGAATAGGAATCAAATCAAGTAATGAGGGGAGATGCAAAGGTATGAGAACAAGATGGCAGTAAGGGACACAGGTACCAAAACTCAATTCTGGTGTCAATTTAGTTTTGCTTTTTAATTGGAATTGCATTTAGCTCAAGAAATAATTCTGACTCTCCCAAAGCAGCACAAATTGTCTGAAGAATCTGCCTCTTCCATTATCAGTACATTTTTAAGAAATGCAGCATCCTTAATGACATAAGTAAATATTTAACTGAATCAGTGAATGCAAGAGTATACATTAATTTAATTCACCTTCAACATAAGAGAATCTGGGGCTTCCAGAGGTGCACAGGGACCAGGAGAACCGACCAGTTCTGCTCCATGCATAATGATCTTCTTACCCACAGTCAGCCTCCCACTTTTTAACAAAGCTAAGAGTGGAGGGTCTAACAGGGCCTTGACAGCATACCATCCATCTGTAAGTTCAATTGTGGCCACATTTTTAGTGTCCACACCACTAGTTTGATTGCTACAAGCTTCAGATATACTTGTGCTCAATGAAATGATATCAGAAACACAGAGAACAAGTGTTTTTGCAGGTGTATCATCCATTTCCATTATCTTTTTTATAGCTGATCTTCTGCTTCTATCAATTTCCACATCATATCTAAAAAGGAAAAAAAATGTCTATTTTAGGAATTGTACCTCTAGAATTTCATTATAAACAGTCACTGAATAAGTGAGAATAAAAATTAACTTATCAAAGAACTACTAAGATAATTTTATTTGCTAGAAATATACTGTTAAAATATGCATATACTGCAGGTAAAAATGCTTTATTAGCAATCTCCAAATAATGGATCAAATTAGGAATTCATATTGTTCTCATCTGCCAAGAGGTTAAACACAGAGTAAAGGAAGAGGAAAGCAAGAGGCATATGAATGTGTGATCTCTCTTAAGTAGGTGCTAGAAGATGACAAGAAAGCTCTACACGGACTGGCAGAACGGCTCAAGTGGTAGAGCACCTACCTAACCAAGCGTGAGGCCTGTAGTTCAAACCCCAGTTACCACAAAAATAAGTAAAAATAAAAATAAGCAAAAGGAAAGCTCTACACAACATGAACATCAACGTCAGTTACAATTGGCTTATACACTGTCTTTGACAGGGAAGTCATAGGCTGCACAGGATCCTGAATCATATAGCAGTACACAAATACTGAAAGTAATGCTTTAAACTTGCCTGTATTTTAGTTGAAGAAGCACCCTTTCTGGGCTTAGGCATCTATTAGCAAATTCCTTAGGAAAAGCAAATTCCATAGCTGCCAGTTTCCATATAATCCATCTGTAGTGATTATAAACCCAAACTCTAGAAATAAGCTTTGGATCCACACCTGGAGTGTCACACAGAGCCCTGAACAAATAAACACAGAATAGTATAATAAAATACCACACAGGATGATATTGGATTCAACATCCATGACTATTCTCCGTACAAAAAACTATACTGTGCAAGATCATTCAATAAGTTTTTATAAATGAACATATTGTTAGAAGTGCTGTTCCCAAACATTGATCAAAGAAACATTTGGAGTCGCTCAGCAAGGCAAAAAGAAAAGTTTTACTTCTGCAGAAGGGTACAAAAACAGATCAGAGATTGATAGGCAGAACACACTGAGAGAGGCGTGAGCTCAGTTTTTATCTCTCTCTGTCCCTCACCCTGGTGGATGGGTTTGGGTTCACAATATTTGCGATTGGTTACTTAGAAAAGGGGTAAGAGGGACCTTGAAGCAATGAGAACAAGAAAATTCTTTTGGGCAATATTTACCTTTAAGCCAGCAGTTTGAGATTAGGACATCTGGCGATAAACAGCTGTATTTGACTGCAAGATCTTGCAAGGTCAACATTTCACAAAGCACATAGGCAGCAATTTGGGGAGGTTAGCTGGCATCTACACAATGATATTTTTACATTAACTCCTTTGACAGAAAAGGCCTAACTTTAGTTGATTCTCACAATATGACTTGTAAGTAATATAACTTTAGAAAACTGTTTAACAGTGGGATGCCAGTGGGTCACGCCAGTAATCCTAGCTACTTAGGAAGCAGAGATCAAGACGATTGAGGTTTGAAGCCAGCCCCAGGCAATCAGTTTGCAAGACCCTATTTTGCAAAACCCCTTCACAAAAAACGACTGGCAGAGTGGCTCAAGTGGTAAGAGTACCTGCATAGCAAGTGTGAGGCCCAGAGTTCAAACCCCAGTGCTGCAAGAAAATAAAAATTTAACATGCAAAGTAGCATACTAAAAAAAAGACTACACTTAAAGCAATTGATACAATAATTTCAACTCAGATAAAGTTGTTTCTAGAAAATGATTCTTAATTTTAAATCATTGTATTTTAGATTACTTTTCTTATTAAAGAGTGTTTTTAGCCATCACACCTGTGGATACCCATAGCCCTGGTGCTCTCCTTGACATTGCTGCCTCTCCTCAACTCTCTAACCCCTCCTTTTTCATTCTCACTCTTAGCACTAAGACAACAAAGGTAATCAAAAGAACACTTACACAAGTTTCCCCCTTCACATCTACTATGACAGCACCTCCATCCTTGAATTTTGCCTTTCTTCCCTCACCATTTACACACTAGTTCTCATCCTATTCCCTAATCAAGGCCATCCATTCACCTAGCAAATACCTCTGCCCCCGCATCATCATTTTTTCCCATCTTCTGGACAGTATCTATCAACATAAAAAATAAGTTTTTTTTCCCCCTACCTTAAAGCGCAAAAACAAGCTCAAACTAATACTCTTTGATCCTATTTCTTCCTCGAGGTACTATCCCTTTCTTTGCTAGTTTGGATAATGATGTCTAGTGGGCCTCACTCTTGCCAAGGTGTTCTACCACTTCTGCCACTCTGCCAGCCCTTTTTATTCTGTGTTAGGTATTTTTGAGATGGGGTCTCAAGAACTATTTGCCCAGGCTGGCTTTGAACTGCAATCCTCCTGATCCCTGTCTCTGAGTAGTTATGAATACAGGCATGAGCCACTGGTACCTAGCAGGAAAAAGTGTTTTATCATGTTCACAATACTATTAATCTTGCAAAGATACAGAAATGTTTCAAAATAAAGGTGCTGGAGAAAGGATTACCATCTTTTGCTATTGACATGAGGTGATATATCCTTATAACAAAAATTTTAAATTTTTTAAAATTAAAAATTTAAGAAGTAGTAATGTAATTTCTAAACTGTTCATGTTTTAGAGCACTGAGATTTTCTAGTTATTTGGTATTACTGATATTTAAATATTTCTATTTAAGTTTTAGTGTTTGTAGTTTATATTTAGTAAATTTACAACGAAAAAGAATATGACATACTGTGGGGTGTCTGCCACAGCTAATTCAAATTAAATTTTTCCCATTAGCTTTTGTTTTGTAAAAATAGGGAAAATGGCCAACTTAAAAAAAAATTCATATAATCCCAGAACAAACTACTTTTCAAAAGATTTCAACAGAATATATTTAAAAATTAGAGCTGGTCGCCAGTGGCTCATGCCTGTAATCCTAGCTACTCAGGAGGCAGAGATCAGGAGGATCGCGGTTTCAAGTGAACCTGGGCGAATAGTTCAAGGGACCCTATCCAAAAACTCTTCACAGAAACAGGGCTGGTGGAGTGGCTCAAGGTAAATGAAGGCCCTGAGTTCAAGCCCCAGTACCACAAAATTAATAGATAGATAAATAAATAAAATTAGATTTCTAGCCAACTTTTTAGTTTAAGAACCATAATGAAAGAAAAAAAGAGAAGCAATTGTGAGTAGCAGAGGGATGACAGAATATGTAAGAATTAACAATAAATCTCCTTTTGCATACAGTACCTATAAAATTCTTCTTTTCCGGCCTTTCCATCGTTGGAGGGTATAAGCCATCCACCATCGGCCAACTGAATTCCCTTTCCACATAAATCTTCCTTACCAAAATAATCCTGAGTGTGAAACTGAAAAGACTCGGCATTTTTGCTGTTAATTTTTATGCAATGTTTAGAAACGCCATACATATAAAGCTGCACAAAATAATTAGAAAAATTTAATAAACAAGTCATATATAAAAGTCATAGCATAAAAACAATGATAACAAACCAAAACTGAATTTACTAAATTTTTTTCATTAAATACTAAAGTATTCACTATAAAAACATTTATTTAGGGAATACAGGCATGGCTCAAGAGGTAGAGCACCTGCTTTGCAAGCACAAAGCAATGAGCCTCAAACCCAGTCCCACCAAAATAAAACAAAAAATATTTAACTGGACTTAGGGGCATAGCTCAATGATAGACTGTGTGCTTAGCATGTGCACATCCCCAGGTCCAATACCCAGCACCTTACACATACATACAAATATAAATAATTAAAAAAAATAACTTCTGAGAGCTGGGGGTATGGCTCAGGTAGTAGAATGCCTGCCTAGCAAGCACAAGGCCCTGAGTTCAAAAAAAAAAAGAAAAACAATTTTCTAGTACAGAAGCTAAAAATTCTTTTCTTTGTTGGGACTAGGGTTCGAACTCAGGGCTTTGTACTTGCAAAGCAGGCACTCTATTGCTTGAGCCATGCCTCCAATCCATTTTTGCTCTGGTTAGTTTGGAGACAGGGGGTCTCACAAACTATTTGCCCAGGGTGGCCTCAAATCATGATCCTCCCAATCTTAGCCTCTCAAGTAGCTAGGATTACAGGTGTGAGCCACTGGTGCCTGGCTAGAAGCTAAAGTGACCTATTCATTCAGGCTGTTGCACTCTTTTACTCCACTTGTGTATATTCCTCATGCTAAATCTACCACACAAAGTCACTGTGGGGATAAAAAAAAAAATTTCTGAAATGTCTTAAGTTCAAAAGTGTAGAAAGGAAGGTTGGGCAGGGAGGCTTATACCTATATTCCCAGCTACTGGGGAGGTGCAAGACCCCATCTCAACCAGTAAAAAGCTGAGTGTGGTGGCATTAGCCCATCATTCCAGTTACATGGGAAGCATAAATAGGAGAATCTAAGTATAGGACAGCTGGGGTAAAGATAAGAGAACCTGTTCAAAAAATAAAACAAAATGGAATAGGGGCATGCCTCAAGTGGGAGAGGGCCTTCGTAGCAAGTGTGATACCGAGTTCAAACCCTAGTACCACCAAAAAAAAAAAAAAAAAAAGAACGGAGAGCATGCTGTATCAGAGTGCTCCTTTCACCCACCTTGCCAAACCAACATGCCCTTTCCTTTGTGCAGAACTTGACTCTGGAGTCAGATCCATGGTTTGGAATTGTGGCTTTCCCACTTCTAGTTAAGTGATATTGGACAGTTACTTAACTCTCACTATGCTTCTGTCCTCTCATTTGCAATATGATGTAAAAATAATGGTGCCTTTCTTCCGGAATGCTTTAAGGATTAAGTGAGATATAACTGATGCATATAAAGTGCTAAGAAGAGTGCCATACAGGCAGAAAAGCCTTAATAATTGTTAGCTGTTAATATCATCACTATTATTTCCAACTTTCCATCATGAAAAATTCTACCTAGTTGGTAATGACTTAGCCAGAACTCTTCTAAAAACCTAAAAGCCTTTAGAAGGTTCAGGGCTATCAGTTACAGACTTTAAATTCAAGGTGATTATTTTCCTCTAATTCCTAGCTGAGAGCTTTAGAGTAACAAAACAAGAAAAATCTGAAGGGGAGGAGAAGCAGCAGCTTTGAAGCACAGATTAGATTGGTAGAGCAACACAAGCTGGCAAAGCAGGGAGGCTGCCACTATGGGCTAAGAAGCATGATGATTTTGTTCATTCACACTGGCAGTAATTTGTTCAAGCTTCAAACAAGATAATTTGGAGACACTAGTTAATAACAAGTTCCTCTTTGCTACAAAAGATATTGATATTGTAGACAAAGGTATACCTGTTTGTGAGAACATGCAGAGGGAATTCGGCCTCCTACAGCTGCTTTCAGAGAGATTCGAGGCAGAGTGGATGTTTTTGCTAGATATAGACTGCCTGGCTGTGGATAGATCTGTTGCCTTTCTTTCTCTTTAATTCGAGCATCCTGTATATCTCTGGCATTTTGAAGGCTTGTAATTATATCTGTTAAAAAACAATTTACAACAAATAAAACTGAATGTAAGGGAGGAGGGTGAATGGAGAGATGATAAGGGAATATGGTTGATGTGCTTCATGTACGTATATGAAATAAAACAATAAGACCTCTTGCAAGTACTTTAAGTGGATTGGGGAGGGGCCAAGAGGGGAAGATGGTGGGGATGATCTAACTAATATACAATGTAATAAGCCTATTTGGAATTGTCACAATGAATCCCCTAGACAATATTAGAATATATCCTAATAAAAATGGAAAACAAAACTGAATGTAAAATTTAAAAGCACAACCTGCTTTATAAAATTATATATATTAACTTGCTTTAATTTTATATGAAGAGAAAAAAATGAGGACCTGATCTCTTTTAAGTCTTCAGGAATGAAAAGTTTCAAGTTGTTTGAAGAATAAAAACATATGTATTACTTCGAGTAATTTTGGAAGAAAATTAGTATGATAAAAAATGTATTCCAGTAATAGTACTGATTGTGTCAAATAGCTTTTAAAATTTGTTTTAAGACAGGGTCTCGCCATGGAGCCTAGGCTAGCCTCGAGCTTATGCTTATGACCCTCCTGTCTTAGTTTTCCAAGTCCTGGGATTCTGCGTAGCTTTTATTTATTTATTTTTTTTGGTAGGACTGGGGTTTGAAATCAGGGATTTGCCCTTCTGAAGAAGGTGTTCTACTGCTTGAGCCACAAAGTCAGTCCATTTTGCTCTGGTTATTTTTTGGAGATGGAAGTTTCATGAATTATTTGTCCAGGCTGGCCTGGAACCTTAAGCCTCCTGATCTCAGCCTCCCAAGTAGCTGGGATTATAGGTGTGAGCCACTGGCGCCTGGGTTTTTTAATTTACTTTACTTATTTTTCTGGGTTGAATTTTTAAAAATTATTGTTGTACTGGGGGTACATTGTGACATTTACCAAAGTGGTTACAATTTTAATATAGTTGAATTCATTCCCTCCATCATTCTTCTTTATCTCTCATCCCATTCCTACAATAGTTTCAACAGGTCTCATTCTTCCATTTTCATACACGAATACATAATATTTCCACCATATTCACCTCCTACACCCTTTGCTTATATCCCTCTTCCACTGGTGCCAATACCCAGACAGGACCTGTTTTACCCTTCTGTTGTCTGTTTTTAAAAAAAGACATTTTTGTTTAAGATAGCTATACGGGTAGTTCACTGTGACATTTCCATGCATATATGTATTATAACCTGAATTGGTTCATCCCCCTCTATTTAAAAAAACAAAACAAAACACAAGAAAGGGGTTGTGGGTGTAGCTCAGTGATAAAGAACTTGACTAGCATGTACAAAGCCCTGGGTTCGATCTCTAGCACCACAACAAACAAAAAACCAAAACAGACCAAAAAACAAAGTCTAAAAGCAGTTATCTTTGAAAGAAAACATCAGACTAACCTTTGCATTTAGAAAATGAAGTATTAAAAAAAAGTTTTAAAGCCGGGTGCTGGTGGCTCATGCCTGTAATTCTAGCTACTCAGGAGGCAGAGATCAAGATCTTGGCTTAAAGCCAGCCCCAAGCAAATAGTTCTTGAGACCTTATCTTGAAAAACTATCATGAAAAAGGGCTGGCAGAATGGCTATGCTTATCTTGCAAGCATAGGCCCTCAATTCAAACCCTAATGCCACCAAAAATAACATTTTGAAATTACTATCACAAAAGGGACAAAATGCTCAGGATGTCATTTAATAGGAGAAATCTCTAACTAAAAGTTAAAAATGTGGCACGTAAATTATCATACAATACCTAAAGTTTCTTCTTTACACTTTGTGAAAATTACAGTTGCTTTTTGATTGGAGCCATTTTTGTTAAACTGATGAATCTCACTGTCAATATTGTTACTATCTCTGGAACCATATTCATCTATGTTTTTTTGTTTTTGTTTGTTCTTCTCCAAATTAACGTTCTTGCTAATACAATGTTCCTCCCCATGAAAATGTGATTTCGTTTTGAAAGGTGGGACAAAGACTTTGGTTGATCTGCCTGTAGTAATCAAGTGCCTCATCTTTTCATTTCTTGTAGCAGAAGCTTTATGAAGTGGCTGTCCTGAAACTAGTAAATTGCTTGAAGAGTTTTCCAAAATCAGGTGTTCATGAAGATGAGATTTAGACAGCAATTCTTGACCAGGTACAGTAAAATTTGGACTCCTGATTTCTTGCTGTTCTTTAGTTGTGCTACATTGAGGAGAGAATATTTAAGTCTGATTATTTTATCAGCAATGTGAACATGTTTGGAAACGTCTTTTTTTTTTTTTTGCAGACCCACAGATACCAATTAGCAATCCTATTCTGATGATTGTTTTGTACTTATCATGGTTGCCATTGCAAAATAATATCATACTTTTCAAGACTGTAACTGCTTCTTATGCACTTACTCCCAGCCTCTGTTGACTTAGTACACATGATAGAAGGGAGTGTGGTCTGTCTCAGTGCATGTTTCCTCCAGTTCTATCACAGTATTCCCTACTCACCTCCTTTACTAGGGGAAAAATTGCCCATCCTCTTTGTATGGCTACCACTTTCTTTGAACTCCTGGCCCCACCTAGTAACGCAGTCTCCTTGTAGCCTTACTTTTTTACCTATTATCCTACCTCTTTCCTTTTTTTCCTTCAAAACACTTTTGTTCCTCAGCCTTTATTTTCACCTCACTGTTACTGAA